GGCTGAATTACATGGCTTATTGAAAAACATGAAAAATTATCTTAGCAAAATGGTGTTTTTGAAAATTCGAAAAAAAAGCAATGCTTATTTTGATGCTACAAGTTATTGTTCTAAAAAATCTTCACTAAACTAGAAAAGTAGAGCTTGAAAAACTTTACAAAAAGGATAGTGTAATTTGCCACTACACCTGGACATGAGAACGAGTTCATACAAGAGAACTGTAGTTTGTACTTTGAAAGTTGATTATGTTGTATCTTTCGAAGATTATTCAAATAGTTTTATTTGACTTTACCAGTATGATATCGGTTTGTATACAATTTTGTAGAGAATTAAACACTGAATATTTTGGACAAAGACTTACTTCGAAACTATGAAAACTGAATGATATATTGAGAAAATACCACTCGCTAGATAAATTTGATTGAACTGTTTTCAATCTTATTCCTTTAGTTAATTCTCATCATATAACTGGCACTGATGATGATGCACAAGAAAATGTTACTAATCTCGTAATTCGTTCATTTGTCCAATGTTACTCAAGTAGAATTTGGATCAACATTCAATATATATCGATGGAAAGATATTCAATTCATTCTAAAGTAAGCAGAGTTTATACTTAAAAGAAAAGTTTTGTTCATAGATTATTAATAGACAAAATAAGAGTCATTCTTAGTAAAGATGGATATAATCAGTATATTAGTTTTTCTTTTGTTGCAGAGCATGTCCAAACGTGATTATTATTATAATTAGTACTTCAGTATTGATCTCATCAGAATTATTCGACAATCCAGCTCTTTTGTTAATTTTCAAACAAATTAAAATGATCAAATCAATAATGAAAAACGATTATTTTCCTTCGAAACTTGCTGAACATTTTCCATCATTTAGTCTTGTTGAACTTCAGGTGTTGTCATTGTAGAATTGTGTATCCATTATTGATATATTTCTTAATCATCTAAAACATTTGTCGTATGTTAAAATGAATTATGATGAAATTTTATTAATCAATGATCCTATTTCACGTGATTATATTATTGAAAAACGTCGTCAAACATTTCCCATGAATATTTTCAATCAACAGCTGATTGATGTTGAAAATAATGGAAAAGCAATGGAAATTTGGTTATCGTAATTTCATTTGTATATTTATTTATTTTTTGTTTGAATTATTAATAATAAAATCATCGAGAAATAAAAATGCTTCTTATGAATAATTGTCATTTGAAATGACAATCTATTTATTATTAGGCTGATTTCGTAGATAGGATAAATAATAAAGTAAATTTAGTTCGTTTTCAAGGCTCTCGTGAAAGCTGTTCAAAAGTAATTGTTAAGCAACTAGCAAGACACATTTTACTTTTTTTTAAAATTACGATGATTAAAATACGACGAGCTTTTCGGAAACAAAATACGAATGTTCTTGATTTTGAGAAGAGGGATCTTCTTAACGTTAATTTATCTCTTCATCAACGTGAAACAAATATTTCACCAATGATGGCTGATCGGGCAACTATCTTATATAGTTTTCTTGAAGTCAATCGGAACTAAACGTGTTTTTTGCATACTCATTATCTTTTGCGTGTTTTCGTTTTGTGAACTATTTTGTAACAGTGACTAGATACCGCTATTCACTGAAAGCTAGAGATAGAGTAGACCATTTGCAGCTATCATTGCTGTAGACAAAAGACAATGTATGAGGTCGACTTGAATCATTAAAATAGCTACTACAGGTGAAATCGACTCATGCCACGAAAATATTAAACTTTTATAATCTGTGCTGCCGATCTGTAGATCGAATTCTCTTTATTTCATCGTAGTACCATGCTGATATCGACAAATGACAAACGTCCTCTTCTTTCTAATAATTCAATTTATGTTCATCAATAGTTTCTTGAAAAAGGTTTTGCACATTAAAATTCTATACTTGATTAATCTATTGAATTATTTTATTTTTATCGTTCGACTATATTTAAATGAACAAAAAGAAATTTTTTATAAAACATCAAGAGAACAAGGAGAAATAAATATTGTTTGTTTTGTTATATTGTCGTTATTTGTTGTTGTTATAGCTGTTGTTGATGAATTTATTTGATTAAGTTTTGGCGTTCGCAGCAGAAAATGCTTCAGTTTCCCATGATTTGTTGCGATTGTTGTTGAACGAAAAGTTGTTCAGTAGGTAGAGCCCGTCGGGGCATACCGGGTCCGGGGAGGGTTCGGTTCTGAAAATTTTTTAAAGATCCTGTACGGGTTCAAGAAAAGTTCAAAAAAGCGGGTCTAGGTCCAAAAATCTGGAACCTGACGGGCTTTATCAGTAGGACAATTATTTATTGATGATGGATTTGTCGAAGTATTTATTCGAGTCACATCTAAAATATAAGATTGGTTTTACTGACCAAATGTTGTTGAAGATTTTCTTTAGAAAGGCCAATAAGTCGTGCAGATCATTTCTATGGAGTCGTCATATTTCAGAACTGTCTCTCAGACTTCACATAAAAAGACAAATTATCTTCGAGTTTGATCATCGAAAAAATGATTCGAGATAGTTACTCATAGACAGCTATGTTCAGTACCTGCGTAACCTGGTCTTTTCTACATGTTTCGTTTAAGCGTGTTTTCTCTAGTGTACACGATAAACTGTATCTTAATAGAAACATTAAAAGCTTAAATCACTTTCACCATGTGCAAATCAGATTTCCATTATTTCTTTGCCTTTTGTCTGTATCACGATATTTGCTATTTTTCTATATCATTTTTTGTTTTAAATGTATAAAGAAATACACAAAAAAGACACAATGCATCATTATTTTTTATATACATGACTTAGAATTGATGTAAAAAAGAAATCAAAGTTACATAGTATTTTGAGCAAGATAATTGGCTAAACCATTACGAAAGGCTTCATCACGCATACATGCATGAAGAAAAAGAATAGCATTCAAACCTAAATAAATTATTCTTTTTTAAGAATAAAATTTTTCAAATAAAAAAAGCATCTTTTTTTATGAATAAATATCGTCAAATATTTTATTAATCTTAGTTAATTGTGTATTAAGAACTCCAATAGGATCACTACTATGAAGTACACCTAGAATCATAGATGTTGTTAATATATCAGATAGAAGTTGTGTCCAAATATCATATTTTAGGATAACTATGATCAACAATAAAAAATTGTATCCAAGTACCAAAACTTAAAAAGAGAGAGAAGAAGAATAAAACGAAGTGAAAGATTTTATTACTGTTTGTCTTCATTAAGATTAATCTGTTCACTTTTTAGAACTTAAACAAAAAAAAGTCGAAAATGATTATCTGAAACACTTTTTCGATGTAAATAGACATATTTGTTTGAATGATTTGATTATTGACCGAGAGTAGGAGCTACTCATCCTAATGAACTAACCTCAGTAATTGTGGAGTATGAGTGTCGGTATAATAAAAACCTCTCTCGTTAGCGGAATCTCACACCTTGATTCGGAAGTGATTCCATTGCAAATTTGTTGACCAGCTAAAATGTCTGTAGAAGGAGTTCATTAGATCATCTGATAGAAAACCACTTCTTTGCAACTAACAAAGGTTAACATTTGTCTAAAAAGGGATTATAAGAAAATCTTGTGATGGCATCACCTTCAACAATGTATTAACTTTATAGATGTAAAAAATTTTCTGCATAAATGGTGGAATCTAGCTCACTTTTCATGTTTGTAAAATCCATTGAAAGAATCTTCAGTTCATACAAAAAATCTGAGAATAAAAATATGTAATAATGATTGATTCTTGGCGCTTTAGCGATATGTCTTCTTTTTTTTCTAGCATTTATTTCTTCAGGAAAACTGTAGGATCATAAGTGAAACAAATTTTTGTATGTTAAGGACTACACTTGACAAGATGACCATATTAGTTTCTGATAATTATGTTGATCAACTTCCGTTCCTACCATTATCTAACACTACCTAAATACGACGAGATTTTGAATCTTATTTTGTCTTGTTTTTTGCTTTGATTCAAACCATTGTTCTTATTAAAATATGTCTACTCATGGCATCAAAATCGGCGATTTTATCTCAATTAATCGCCTAAGCTTGTGATTTTGCCGATTTTGATAAAAAAATAGTCGCAATTATTTCAATACAGGTTGGCCCATAAATAGTACCACGTTAGAAAATGAAATATCTCTATTTCGATTCAATCAACTGAGCTATTTTCTTGGTTAGCGGTGGAGTTCATTCAAAGTTTGTCTTCATATGGATAAGATAGGCAAATACTACTGCTAAGTATTGTTGTTGGTATCATGAAAGCAATTTCACCTGTTATCAATTAAAAAATATTCATGTATAGCATGTCATAGATAATTTTTAGTGTTCATCTTAGAGAATAATGAGAACCAGTCAAAACGAAGTATATGAATGATACAGTATTGAGGTACATTGATTAAATTTTAAAACACGTTAGTTTATAAGTAGACAGTTACAAAATTTCGAATTTTCAAACATGAAACACTTTTTTTCAAAGAAAGTTGGTGTTATATTACCCAGAGAACTGCAGTTATGTGTTTTATCTATCGGTCACGAGTTTCAGCATTTAAACTGACTAGTTTTAAAAACTTTCTCTGTGTTCATCAATACAGAATCATTTATATAATTCGTTTTGACTTTCTAGTAAAAAATATTCCAAAGAAAATCTCGATTATTTTTGATTACCTGTGTGAAAATCTTATTTTTTGGACGAAATTGCTATTTTTTGTAGAAAACCCAGTTAAAATCTATAAATCGATTGAAAAAGACAAACTGTTTCACGGATTAGGGTGTGGGTGTGGGTGTGTGAGTGCGGATACAGAATCTCGGTTAAGAAAATATCAACAACTATATCCACCCCACACCGTTTTCTCCTTCTATTTCTGCTGCACCATAACATTTATTGTTGACTTCGTGTTTTCTGTAAGTTGTGTAACCCTATACTTAAGCATTTTTATATCTCTTCTTTTTCTTCTTTGCAATAACTAAATCATATTCGCTATGATTCTTTTGTTAACCAATCAAAGGAACAATAAATCTCTCAATGTTAAAATAAAATAAATAGCGATAGGTAACACGTAAAATAAAAAAAACATCGTACGTTGTTATTGACTTATCGAATTTCTTGTGACCTTTATTTTTATCTGAGTTAAACATCGAACGTGACTCGATTTGCGCAGTGCGATGAAATCAGTGAAAGTGATTCAGCAGATGGAAGGTATAAAAATTGATGTTCATGGCATTCTCTACTTATTATTGCTCTTTTCAACAACTCAACTAACACAATATGAAGATGACGACAACCTTAACACTTTTATATGTAGGACTGATTCTGTTCAGTTTGATGTTCGAATCGACCAGCAGGGTCGTTGCTGATCTACAGAAAAGTGAGGATTTGGGGCATGACACTTTGCAGAAGCAATGGTCGAACCCTATCTTAGAAACTATCGACAAAAATATCGATTATGTGAATTCAATGCCTTTGTTTCAACAACATCAATGGGTTCCCGAGACGGATAGCAGTATGACTGAGCACAACGTGAAGAAAAGATGTGTTCATGGATGTCGGCCCTCACGTCATCGTCACCATCCTCCTTGGCAAAATCCAAACTCCCCTTCTTGGCCTAACACATACCCTAGTCCTTGGTCGAATCCATACCCTAGTCCTTGGTCAAATCCATACCGTAGTCCTTGGCAAAATCCAAATCCGATTGGAATTCCATTTTTACAGCCACGATATCGACGATCATTATCGGTATTTGATGACTACAGGAGAAGTGAGAATTTGGCTAATGGTCATAAGCTGTGGCAAGGAGAACAAAAGTTCGCTGATCGTGCTCGTGGATTTTCCAAATCACACCTAGTAAGTTATACCAACACAGACCTATTCAAGTCAAATCTGCTTTTTGACATTCATCATTGTTTAGCCACTGCATGAAATTAACAACTATGATCCTCAAGATCATTTCGGCTTAGCAATGTCATTAATTGACAAAAATGACCACCAAATGTCGGTTGGCATTGATGAAACTCTAGATAAATCATTTCAAACCGCAACACATGTATGTTTGATTAATGATAAAAATCATTTTAGTGTCCTTTTCTCTACTTTTCATCTAGA